TTTTTTTTTTTTTTTTTTACTACTACGGTCCCGTTGAGTTTCTTGCTCTGATAACTTTCTTGCTCAGAAAGCGAGAGGGTTTACCGTGGACAAAAACTGACAGGGAAGAAATAAGAGTAAAAAACGCATCTTCCGTAATGAGGAAAATTATTGGTTAAAATGTTTTTTTTTTTTATATCTTTCTCTCTTTTTTGATTTTTTCTTTATATAACCTCACCTTTTTTTTCTGGGTTACCCCTACTATATGTGGGTATACGTTGCAAACGAAAATACCGAAATGTGTATTTGGGACAGATTGTTTTTTTTTTTTTTTTTTTTTTTTTTTTTTTTTTTTTTTTTTTTTTTGACTTTTTTTCTTTATTATATTGTTGGTATTGTCTTTTTTTTACTATATTATTTGTTATTGTTACTATTTATATTAGTTCTTTTCTGCTAGCGTTAGAACGGAAAGCGGGGGGTCGTTTTTCTTTTTTTTTTTCCTAAGCGTACTCGATGTATGAGATTAAAAGCATTTTGACCACGCCGTAGAAGGAATAAATCAATGCTGGTAAAAAAAAAAAAAAAAAACAGCACATAGAGAGGGCTGTAAAACAGTGAAGGTACAGTACACGTGACTGTATGAACTGCCGTGACAGAAATGCACGTGTCTTTGTGTGTTAAGAAGACCCAAAGTCAATAGTACGTATATTCATGACATCACCCCAGACTAATGGGCACTACTTCACCAAATCCCTCCACTTTCTCTTTTTTTTTCTTTTTTATAACCTTGCATAAGTTCTTCTTACGCGATTTGTCTTGTTTTTATTCCGTTATATCTGGTTTTTTACGGTTTTTTTTCTCGTATATATTGCCATTATACAGAAAAATTGCAAGTTCCGCTATGTGCGGCAGAAAGACCTTAGTGGGCAATAAAGGGTAATTAAACTCACAATGGACTTTCAAATACAAAGGGAAAGAAAAAAAAAAAAAAAGAAGAAGTATACCTGTGATGTAGGAATAAATTCTACTTATACAGTTATCACGTTTCTTGTTTTTGTGTCATTTCGGGATTTCAAAAAAAAAAAAAATAATAATAATAATAATGGAACCCAGAGGTTTTACTAAAACATTCATTCCCAACTTATTCTTGTTTCTTAAAATGAAAACACCGATACAACTCTACTCCTTTCTTCTTCTTTTATTACACATTAAAAATAATAGAATTTACTCTTTTTGACAAGTGTACAAGTACACCAACAGCACATCCAAAAGATTGACGCAACAAAACCAATCTGCAAGACACGTTTTTGCAGAGAGCAAAAAAAAGAAAACGAAAAAAAAAAACGCGATGAGTGCTGTTGACGCTGTCTTCGTTGAACGGCTTGCCACAGGCCGACAGAAACCTATCAACGAATCACGACGCTTTGCACTGTTGGCACTGGGGGCCTTCTGCTGTACATGTAACTCCTTTTCCTATGCCTTCAACCTTATTTCAAGTGAGCTGCAGACCCGTTATAACCTGAACCAGCGTGATTTGTCAACCATAAGCACAGTGGGTCTTGTGGTCTCATATTTTGTGCTTCCGTACGCCTTTGTCTATGACCATTTTGGCCCTCTTCCCATTTTGTCACTGGCCACCCTGTTTTTCCCTCTTGGGACACTGCTGCTTGCGCTCACGTTCCGTGGCATCATTGTGGGCTCTGTTGTGCGTCTGAGTGTTTTCAACACCATCATGAACCTTGGTTGTATTCTGTTCGATCTTGGTTCTGTGATGACGGTGATAACATTTTTCCCAATTAACCGTGGTCCCGTTGTGGCAATCATGAAGACCTTTTCTGGTCTTGGTGCTGCAATTATGGGATGCATTCAGCTTGCGTTCTTTAACGGCATGCCTGACCACTTTTTCTATTTCTTGATGGCGCTCTCGTTTGTGGTGGGTATGTTTGCGTGTGTGTTTTTGCGTCTCCCGTCTTATCATCTGACAGGCTACGAAGAGAACCACCTGAGTGTTGAGGAAAAGGAACGACGCCTGGCACGAAGAGCAGTGTACCTGCGTCAGAAGCCTCCAATCATTCGATTCGTGATAGGTCTTACATTTGTCATCATATTCATAATCTTCTTGCCACTGCAGAGTGCACTTGTGGCTTATCAGGGACTGGGGCAAAGCTACAGAATTGCTTTTGCCATTGTTGTCATTGTGCTGATGGCGCTTTACCCGATGATGGCGCTGCCTGTACGATTTCTTGATCGCCGTAAGACTGAGGTTGACAGGATCACTGAACCGGGAAATGAACCTGAGGGAGAGAGCAGTGATCAGGTTGATGTGGTGAAGCCGGATGATGTGGTGGAGACTGATGTTGACTACATTGCCCCACAGTATCAGGGTTCGTTTCTGCGCAACCTGTTGACACTACGCTTGTGGGCTCTCCTTTGGTCATTCTTTGCTGTTGTTGGTGCCGATTTTGTTATCATTCTCAACGCCCGGTTCATACTTGCTGCATTGTCTGGAGAGGCGGTGGGCAACGAGCTTGCTACGCTTTTGACAGTGCTGAACGGTGTTGGAAGTGCTGTGGGTCGTATATTGATGAGTGTATTTGAGGTTTGGTCGCAGAAGCGAAAGGCTGAGGATCGTATCCCCATCACGGTTTCTCTGTTTGTCCCAACAATTATGGTCATTGTTTCGATGGTGCTGTTTCTTGTGCTGCCAAAGTCTGCGTTGCCACTTCCGTACGCGATCGCTGCTTTGGGGAATGGCTTCTGTGCCGCTGTCACTGTGCTGGTTACGCGCACCATATTTGCAAGGGACCCCGCAAAGCACTACAACTTCTGTTTTGTTGGTACGGCACTTTCTGTAATCTTCCTGAACCGTCTGCTGTACGGCGAGTGGTACACACGCAAAGCCCAGGAGTACGGTGTGACTGTTTGCCTGCAGAAGTCCTGTGTGTTGATGCCCTTGCTGTTCTTGCTTGGTTTGGCTTGCTCGGCGTTTTTGACCAATGCGTATGTCCATTTTGAGTACCGCCGCTTCTGCCAGAGGACGCTTGAGGAGCGACAGCGCGTGCGAGAGGCTGCTGTGAGGAATGAGTCGCTTCCTGAGACCATGATGGAGGACATGCCCAATGACGGTATGAATCCACAGAACTGAAAACACGCAACACGTGTGTGTGTGATATCCCCATGTGGGTCTTTTACTTTGTGCTTCTCCCTCCCCATTTTCATCCCCTTTATTTGTGTTAACTAAGTATGAAAGATACTGTGGTCGTATTCTTGGGAGTATGACGAAATGCGCAAGTCTTATTTTGTATTCCATGATAATGACTGTATAAGCATTTTTTTATATTTGGTTTTCTTTTTTAAATTGTCCGTGCCAGAGGTATCTCTTGGTGTGTCTCGTGTTACTAAGAAAAATTGACGTTAAAATGTGGTGTAAGGAGAACCTCAATGAAGGTTTAGTTTTAAGATCGAACTGTTTATTTTATTTCCTCCCTTTGAGGTGGGGTGTGATATATGCAAGCACTAAAGTCATGCTATATTTATATTTATTTTTTTTAACAGCATCTCTGAGAAGCGGTAGAATAATTTATTATCACGGCTGTGTTGTACTTTTCTCTTTCTGTGTCGTACGTATCCTCTCTTATCTATAATTGACGTTATTTTCCTTTTTTCTGTGGGTGTGGGGGACCGTGTGGTTTCTCAGGATTCCTCTTCGAATCTGGGGATGTATGCCACAATTGGTAGACGTTGTTGCTATTTCTCTTTGTTTTCGTTTTCCCTTTTTAGTAAGGAGTGGATTTCTTTTCTTCACCTAAGTGTCAGAGCAAAGTAAAGCCTACCAAGTCATACACACTGCGAGCGGGACTGTCGATGAGTGCTGTTGACGCTGTCTTCGTTGAACGGCTTGCCACAGGCCGACAGAAACCTATCAGCGAATCACGACGCTTTGCACTGTTGGCACTGGGGGCCTTCTGTTGTACCTGTGCATCTTTCTCCTATGCCTTCAACCTTATTTCAGGTGAGCTGCAGACCCGTTATAACCTGAACCAGCGTGATTTGTCAACCATAAGCACAGTGGGTCTTGTGTTTTGCTATTTCATTCTCCCGTACGCCTTTGTCTATGACCATTTCGGCCCTCTTCCCATTTTGTCACTGGCCACCCTGTTTTTCCCTCTTGGGACACTGCTGCTTGCGCTCACGTTCCGTGGCATCATTGTGGGCTCTGTTGTGCGTCTGAGTGTTTTCAACAGTATCATGAACCTTGGTTGTGCTTTGTTTGATCTTGGTTCTGTGATGACGGTGATAACATTTTTCCCAATTAACCGTGGTCCCGTTGTGGCAATCATGAAGACCTTTACAGGTCTTGGCTCTGCAATTGTGGGATGCATTCAGCTTGCGTTCTTTAACGGCATGCCTGACCACTTTTTCTATTTCTTGATGGCGCTCTCGTTTGTGGTGGGTATGTTTGCGTGTGTGTTTTTGCGTCTCCCGTCTTATCATCTGACAGGCTACGAAGAGAACCACCTGAGTGTTGAGGAAAAGGAACGACGCCTGGCACGAAGAGCAGTGTACCTGCGTCAGAAGCCTCCAATCATTCGATTCGTGATAGGTCTTACATTTGTCATCATAATCATAATCTTCTTGCCACTGCAGAGTGCACTTGTGGCTTATCAGGGACTGGGGCAAAGCTACAGAATTGCTTTTGCCATTGTTGTCATTGTGCTGATGGCGCTTTACCCGATGATGGCGCTGCCTGTACGATTTCTTGATCGCCGTAAGACTGAGGTTGACAGGATCACTGAACCGAGAAATGAACCTGAGGGAGAGAGCAGTGATCAGGTTGATGTGGTGAAGCCGGATGATGTGGTGGAGACTGATGTTGACTACATTGCCCCACAGTATCAGGGTCCGTTTCTGCGCAACCTGTTGACACTACGCTTGTGGGCTCTCCTTTGGTCATTCTTTGCTGTTGTTGGTGCCGAGTTTGTTATCATTCTCAACGCCCGTTTCATACTTGCTGCATTGTCTGGAGAGGCGGTGGGCAACGAGCTTGGTACGCTTTTGACAGTGCTGAACGGTGTTGGAAGTGCTGTGGGTCGTCTGTTGTTGAGCTACTTTGAGGTTTGGTCGCAGAAGCGCAAGGCTGAGGATCGTATCCCCATCACGGTTTCTCTGTTTATCCCAACAATTACGATCATTGTTTCGATGGTGCTGTTTCTTGTGCTGCCAAAGTCTGCGTTGCCACTTCCGTACGCGATCGCTGCTTTAAGCAATGGCTTCTGTGCCGCTGTCACTGTGCTGGTTACGCGCACCATATTTGCAAGGGACCCCGCAAAGCACTACAACTTCTGTTTTATTGCTACCGTTTTTTCGGTTCTCTTCCTGAACCGTCTGCTGTACGGCGAGTGGTACGCACGCAAAGCCCAGGAGTACGGTGTGACTGTTTGCCTGCAGAAGTCCTGTGTGTTGATGCCCTTGCTGTTCTTGCTTGGTTTGGCTTGCTCGGCGTTTTTGACCAATGCGTATGTCCATTTTGAGTACCGCCGCTTCTGCCAGAGGACGCTTGAGGAGCGACAGCGCGTGCGAGAGGCTGCTGTGAGGAATGAGTCGCTTCCTGAGACCATGATGGAGGACATGCCCAATGACGGTATGAATCCACAGAACTGAAAACACGCAACACGTGTGTGTGTGTGTGTGTGTGTGGGATTTGGAGAGAATTTTATTAGGAATTTGAGGCCAATTCATGAATTTTTTTAATGTTTTTTTATTATTTTAGTATTATTACTATTTTTTTTTCTTGTTAGTAATATATATATATATATATATATAGTGATTATATTGAGGTTTCGTAATTTTAGTTTTATATTGAGTTTTTTGTTTTGTTATGTTTACCTGGTTACAACCCTGTATTTCACGTTTTTTTAGTGCAGTAGAATTATTAATTTTTTTTTTTAAGATTATGTGTTACGTCATATGACTTTTGTTGTACAATGTAAAAATCTCTGGGTAAAAAGAGGGATGTTTTTTTTTCTTTGGTATTTACAGTGACGTAGTGCCTGTTGTGATGATGCTGAGAATATGAGAAGTTTTTCTTGTTTTTTTTTTATTTGTTTCTTTCTTGTTTTGTTTCCTTTTGTGGGATGTCTTTTGTGTTGTTGATATTATATATATATTGTTATTGTTTTCGGTTTTTCATTGACTGTTGTAGTTGGATTTTGAATCTGTTACTATTGAGTGAAGGAAGCTGGAAGATCTGTTTTTGTGGATTTAAACGTGGTGTCATCTTTGAGTAATAAACATTCTTTGTTGTTGTTATTTCTTTATTTTATTTTTTTTGTTTTGTAAAATTTCACTGTAAAGGGAACTCTGGTGTTCATGGACAATGTCGACGTTAACGGGAACATTGGCTCTTGGTTTAGTAGAATGATTCGCTTGGGTGATATGGGTTTTTTTACTGCAGCTGGAGATGCTGCAACTGCTCATCGTACGGTGGGTAGTCAGACTATATTACCTTCTTTTCGTCATTTGGTTTTGGAGGAGGCGCTAAGAACGTATTTTACGAGGAGTGAAGAAAAAGTGCATCTATTAATGCGAGAAGCAAATTTGCAGCGGGAGCGAGTGCAAAAAATAATGGAGGATGTTTCATTGGGAGATGTATTAATTACTTTGAATGTTGGGGGAACAATGTTTACGATGTCCCGACGGACATTGTGCGCTGAGCCGGAAAGTATGCTCGCGTTGTTGCTTTGTGATTGGATGAAGGTGGAAAGGGATGCAGCTGGTGTTATTTTTTTGGACCGTTCACCGCACCTATTCGGTGAAATATTGTCGTACTTGCGAGTTAAGAGTGATTTTCAAAGATCAGGGAGTTTTCGCACGGATACACGAGACGGAGTGATGGATGAGGATGGTGAAAGGATCGTTTTAACGCAACTGACACAAACGAACTGGCGTCATCTAAGTTCTGTAGATTTGCATAGACTGATTGCTGAAGCCAATTATTATAACCTGAAAAGTTTGGAATTTTATCTTGTACAGTATTCTCAACGAAGATGGATTGAATATGGTACATTTGTTTCTTCTTGTGAGGTGAGTAATAAAAGTACTAGTGAATCTAATAAAACATGCTATGAAGAGGCAACGAGAACCTCTTCCTTCTTGTCAGATGCGGTGATATGCTTTGATTACGATAATGAAACCAGTATCTGCGCAGTAGGTCGCGGAAATGGTTTGATATCACTTTATTTATTACCCTCTGTGAGTTTAGTCAAGACATTGAGAGGACATACAAACTGTGTTACAGCTTTAGTGATTACTTCAAGGCGTGTTTTTTCTTGTGCACGTGATGGATTCATTTTTGTATGGCATGGTCGTGAAGGGTCCTTTGCACTTATCAGTAGTTTGCATGCACACCAGGGTTTTGTCCATGATCTCCTTTACTTGCCGGATCAGTTATCACTATTTTCATGTGGCGAGGATGGTCACATATGTGTTTATATCTTATCAGATGAACTCCATCCCAACACAGTTGGGGGTGTCACTGCCCCCGGTCCTCTGCGGTCTCTTGCTGCGTACCATCAGTATATCTTTGCCTCTTGTAAGGAGATGATCATCGTGCTTGACACTTTGCGTGGGGCACTTCTGCCGGTGCGGGGAGAAGCTCATGCGGCCCCCGTTCGATGCCTGTCGGTGTGCGAGCCGGCTGGGCTGCTTGCCTCGGGCGACTGGGAGGGTGCCGTTTATGTGTGGGGGGTGCGGGGCGTGGGCGGTGGGGGTCCTGAGGGTCTCTCGCCGCTGCGGCAGGTGAGAAAGAGGGGCGATTGGGTCGTCCACCTCACCTTCGTTGGTGAGTTGCTGGCAGCAGTCTCTGGTGGGGGCGTAGACTTCATCGACATCGGCCCTCAGCCGACGGTTGTGCGGCACATAGCAGGCACAGGGCCGGGGGTGCGGGTGGTGCTCGCACTTGAGTCTATCAACTGTCTCCTCCTCGGTGACGTCGATGGCGGACTCACAGCACTCCATAGTCGTCTTTTCACGCACACAGAAGAGAAGGTGAATGTGAAAAAAACAGATGAAGAGAAACAGTAGGATGTGTATTCGTATGTGTAACTGAAGATAGGGGTGGGATTGGGAGTTGTAGTTTGCTGATGTCGTGAAAAATATACACCGTAATATGGGAAAAAGGAAAAAAGAAAAATAGATAAAAGAATAAAAACAGGAAAGATAGTGAACGTACATAGATTTGATTGAGTTCCTTTTCTCATTTCAGCTTTTACTTTTTTTTTTTGTCACTGTATTTTATAGCTACATTCAACTAGAATTGTAGGTAAAGTTGAGAACAAAAGAGCGGAGGAAGCGAGCAGTTGGACCAAAGGAGGAAGAGGAAGAAGAAGAAGAAAAGGAAAGGGCAGGATAGGAGAGGAAGGCACAGCAAATACCGAGGAGATGGCTTCTAACGACAACAATAACAACCATGATAATGATAATGGGAAGAGAGTATGTGTTCAGCAGTTGGTTGTGTCACAAGATGAGAAACGATTAAGTGAACCGAAGCGTTTCAGTCTTCTTGTAGTTGGAGCTTTTGCTGCTATTTGCGCTTCTACTTCATATTCTTTTAATTTGTTCAGTGGAACCATGCAACAAAAATATTCTTTTTCACAGCGAGACCTCTCATCAATCAACACTGTTGGTATGGTATTTTGCTATTTTCTCCTTCCATATGGTGCCATATATGATTATTTTGGTCCGCGTCCTATTTTTGTATTGGCATGTGTCTTCTTCTTTATTGGTGCACTGCTAATGGCCCTTTCTTTTGATGATAAGGTTCAGGGAACAACAGTGCGTTTCTGTGTTTACAACGCTTTTCTAAGTCTCGGCAGTCAGTTATTTGACTTGGCATCTGTGGTGACATTACTGAGCGTATTTCCGAGCAACCGTGGAGCTGTAGTAGCAATATTAAAAACACTTTTTGGACTCGGTTCAGCTATCATTGGAGCATTTTATTTAGGATTTTTTAAAGGAAATCCATCAAATTTTTTCTACTTTTTGATTGCCTTCGTCTTCTGTGTGGGTTTGTTGGCATTAGTTACTGTGACCCTTCCGTTGTACCATTTGACTGGTTATGAACAAAAACACCTAAGTGCTGAGGAAAAGGAGCGGCGAATGGCAAAAAGATCAGTCTATCTTCGGCAAAAAGCACCTTTATGGCGCTTTTTTTTCGGTCTCGCCATTATTTTTGTTCTTATTGTTTTCTTGCCGTTGCAAAGTGTATTGCTGCATTTCTTGAAACTGGGTCGCTCATATTATTTAGCCTTTGCTATTGCGACAGCTGTAGTTACCATGCTTCTTCCATTAATGGCTATTCCATGTCGTTTTTTAGACAGACGATATGAAGATGTAACACAAAAGCAAGAACAAGAGCAAAATCAGAAGCTAAAAGAAGTAGAGGAGAAAAAGAAGGAGGAGGGGGAGGGGGAGGAAGGACATCAGGATGAATATACGGAAGCTGATGAGAATACACTTGAATGCGGTGTGCCAACAGAGGTGAAGAATGATTCATCTAAGCAGGCTGGTAAAAAAGTAGCTCTGGTTGAAACTGATGTTGACTATATTGCTCCACAGTATCAGACAACGTTTATGGAGAGTCTTTGCACATTGGATCTATGGGCTCTATTCTGGACATTTTTTTGCGGTGTTGGTTCAGAGTTTGTTATTATTTTTAATGCTCGCTTTATTCTTGGAGCCCTTTCTGGTGAATTTGTTGAGGACTCTATGGGTACGTTGTTGACAGTAATTAACGGTGTTGGAAGTGCTGTGGGTCGTCTATTGATGAGCTACTTTGAGGTTTGGTCGCAGAAGCGAAAAGCTGAGGATCGTATCCCCATCACGGTTTCTCTGTTTGTCCCGACAATTTTGGTTATTGTTTCGATGGTGTTGTTTCTTGTATTACCAAGTAAAGTCGCATTGTTGCCATTTGCCATTGCTGCTATAGGCAATGGCTTCTGTGCCTCTGTTTCTATTCTTGTTGTGCGCACCATCTACGCTAAGGACCCAGCAAAACACTATAATTTTGCCTTTAACGCTCTTTGGACATCCGCTGTGTTATTAAACCGTTTGTTGTACGGTGAGTGGTTTGCACATGAAGCAGATAAACAGGGGAGTCCACTCTGTTACGGCAAGGTATGTGTTTTAATGCCCTTGGTGGTGATGATTGGTCTTAACGTTAGTGGACTTGGAGCTAATTTCTACATGCACATAACTTACTCTCGTTTTTCGAGAAAAGTTCTCGCGGAAAGACTTCGTTTGAAAGAAGAAGCAGCAGCTGCTGCTGCGGAATCAACTGCGCCAACGGAGCCCGTTGACAATCGTTTGTCTGAGATGTAGATTCTGCAAGTGCCTGTTACAATCTTTATAGTTGGAGTGACAGCTTTGTTTTCATTATTTGAGTAAATGATATCTGTTTTAATGGATGACATTTCATATCAGGTTTTGTATGAATCACAACTTTCTGCAATTTTCATTATCCCTTTCTCTTTTTTTTTGTATTTACTTGATCTTTTTTTTTTCCTTTGCGTTTTGGGGGTTTGGCTATTTTCGAATATGGAGAGTATTTTTTTCTTATTTTACAAACTTTTGTATCTCACGGGGTACATCAGAGGGTATAAAAAAAAAAAAAAAAAAAAAAAAATACCTCATCCGACGCCAAATTTTTTCTTTCTTTTCTCTTTTTATTTTATTTTCCAGGGTTTTTTAAAGAATGGATGTGTCTTACCCTTGATCAAAACTATTATGTTGTCTTTTCGTAATTTGTCTCTGTTGGTATTGTGTCAAATAAAGTTGGTTGTCGAAAGGCACATCCAACCTATCTTTCTCCACTCCATCGGGTGAGGTGGAATAAGAGAAACACCTTTAAACACCCCCTTGATTCTTACTATTAATAATGAATTAATATTTTAGTCTATTTTCTGAGTGTCGATTTAAAACCCAATATATGGCAATGAAGTAGAGGGGAAAAAAATATGTACCAAATGTTTTTTTTTTTTTCTTCTGTTCTTCTTTTTTACTTTCTTTTTTTTTTTGAGTGAAGTGGGATGGTGACCATTCCTTCTTATTTTGTGGATACTGCTAATAATAGTGTCATAACATTATTACAAGAAGAGGAAAGGTGAAAGTAAACAAGACCATTTTCTTTTCTGATGTGGCGCTCCGTCGTCAAGTAATGCACATATATAAGTAGAAAGAAGGGAATAAAAGATATCCCATTCTATTCCAATTTGTTTTTATGTGTAGAATATTTTTCTGCTATTTTTGTTTTTTCTCGTTTTGACGACGTTTCATGTTGTACCGTAGAATTGTTTTTGTTTTTTGTTTCACTGTTGTTAACATATATTTCTTTCTCACCGTTTTCTCTAGCAGTACATATATGTATATATATATATATCTCATTGGATCTGTCTATGTATTTCTGTATGCGAGTGTACACACACACACTCTCTCTCTTTTTTTTTTTTCGTTTTTTTTTTTTATTTTACTGCTCGACGTCAGCAGCAGAAATCCACGTAATTGGTGGAGACATCTACGGATAAGCCAAAACTAGAAACTAAAATACAAGCAAAAAAAAAAAAAGCATATATTTCCAAAACCAACCAACCAACCAACAATCCCGTAAAGAAAAGGAAAGAGAGTAAAGAAGAGAAGGATGGGTACTGATGCGGACTTTTTCAGGGCTGTGGAGCGGCGGGACGCGGATCTGCTACGTCGTCTCATTGCGGAAGGGCACAATGTCAATGTGCGTGGGAGCCGCAACCGCACGCCGCTGCTGATGTGCGTGTGGGAGGACTACGCCGAGGGGGCGCGGCTGCTGCTTGAGGCGGGGGCCGATGTGAATGCCCTCGACGACCTGCACGACTCGCCGTTCCTCCTCGCCGGGGCGGAGGGGCGGACGGCCATCATGCGGGATATCCTCCGACTCGGCAAGCCGGACATGGCGCTCCGCAACCGCTTCGGCGGCTCCGCCCTCATCCCCGCCTGCGAGCGCGGTCACGTGGAGATTGTGGAGATGCTCATCGACGCCGGCGTGGACGTGGACCACGTAAACAACTTTGGCTGGACGGGGCTGCTCGAGGTGATAGAACTCGGCGGAGACGACTTGGACCACGTGAAGATTACAAAGGCACTCATCGACGCCGGCGCAGATGTTAATTTGGCCGACAACAAAGGCAATACACCACTTCACTTGGCAAGGAAGCACAAATTGAGGCGCGTCGCTAAACTTATCGAAGACGCTGGAGGACATGAGTGAAAGAAAAAAGAAAAGAGAGGGAAAAAAGGTGGGGTTTTATGGGGTGCTGCGGTAGCGACCATCCCGACAGCTTCGATTTTATGGCAGAGGTTCTTTTTTTTCATGTAACTCAGGGTGAATGACGGGGTTATGTGGATTGAACTGAATTTTTGATTCACTTTGCCTGAGTTAACCGTTGTTGGGGAAATGATGATGACAAAAAAAAAAAAAACGAACGAAATAAAGAGGGTAATGCCGCAAATGTAAGCTCACTCGGAATCACAATGATCAACAAAAACAAGAACAAAAAAAAAAAAACTTGTGTTAGGTTGTGATTAACCATTGTATTATTTTTTTATTTTTATTATTTTCTGGAGGAGGGGATTCTGCAAGCGGTAAAGTTCATGGGGATTCAGATTATTAGTGTATTGTCCTTGTATCCATCCTGGTTCTTTTTTTGATATTTTAAAAAGATTAAAGAGTATGTAATATATGTCCTACAATATTGAATGTTGTGCACTCCTATTCCTCTTTCTTTTTATTCTTTTACCTCCTTGATCTACATGATTCACGGGTGAATGTAGAGAAAACTTTAGATACAATACTCTTTTGGAAAAAGGGGACAGTTATAGTACATAGCATACATAGCATATATATTAGTTTTTAAGGTGGTGCGCATGCGTGTGTGCTATGGAACGGCAAAACATCTACCGGGACGTGGAGATGAGGGAGACAGTAGTGAGTACTCCCCTCATAGCAGTAATAGTTTGTGCGCTAACTACCATCCTGCTCCTAGCACTCCTCGCACGGGTTGTGTATAATTTGTATTACAAAGATAAGTTTCAGGTACACTTATTGTATTCCCGCGCTACTCAACCATTCCAAGCTGATGATGGTAACAACGGCGATGACAGAAACTGGTGGAAACGTACATTCAACAAAATTATCAGTAATGACCCCCAGAGAACCTTAAACTCTGCGGTTCTGCATGCGATCCTTTTTCTGCCTGTGGACTTGGAACTACCCAATCCTCTCGAAAACGCGGAGTTGTTTAATGATAAATTTTGCCTTAGCAGAGCGAAGGAAAGACGTCGTATGTTGGATGACCTTTTTTCCTCGCCTAATGACAAGAATTCTGTTGAGACATCAGAAGGCGAAGATAAAGTCTCACAACCCGTTTCAAAATATAGTGATCCAAACAATAACACACCACAATACTTTCATAGGAATATGAAGAGTAGATATAAGGCATCCATAAACAGTAATAAAACCGGTTTGCTGACTCAAACAGAAGAAGAGTCAAGAATGAGTTCTGTTAATGATGTCAGTGAAAATCAACAACATCAAAGAGAACCGAAACGTAAACAGCGAACTCCACGTGAGTGAGAAATTAGGTTATGTGCTAAGAGCATTTGTTCTTTTTTTTTTTTGTCTGTGTGCGTTCAATTGGTTTCAGAATGTGTTTACATTGCAATGAAGGTTTTTTTTTTTCCAGATATTACAGTAATATATTTTCAAAAAAGACAGTTTGGCACTTTTTACCATCTCCCCTCTTCCCCCTCTTGCCTTTTTTTTTTTTTATCTCTTTCTTTTTTCCCTATATATACTTATGTGTATAATGTCTACTTCCCCGTTTTATTATTATTATTATTATTATTATTATTATTATTATTATTATTATTTCTTGCGTTATTTCAACTGATATTTGGAAGAGATATCTTTACAGAATTACCTTAACACCAATTATTTGCTTCTCCACAGGAACAGTTGATGAATATATGAAAATATGGTTTCTTCTATTTTTTTCTTTTTTTCTCCTCCTTCTCTTCTTTTCTGTCATATTACTTTACCTTTATCTAAGGTACTCTATTTAAGTGAAAAGTATACTCTGTGAACGTCATGTCGTACAATCAAGCTACTGATGAAAACACTCCGGTTCCTGATATCACCACTGATAACGGGTCCCCGGACGCTGTTCATGTGGAAGCTATTTCTATCAACCGTCGTTTGGTTCCCATTAATGAGTCTCGCCGCTTCGCTTCTCTCGCCCTGGCCGTTTTCAGCTGTATTGGTTGTTCTATAATATTTTGTTTCAACCTTTTTAGCGGCGATTTGCAGCGAAAATACAATTTTACGCAAGATGCTCTTTCATCCATTAACACTGTGGGACTTGTTTTTTGTTACGCCGCTCTTCCCTACGGCGCCCTGTTCGACTGGCTTGGACCGCGTCCTGTCTACGTGCTCGCTATGACACTGTTACCTATTGGTTCATTATGCTATGCATTGGTATTTGCAAATGTTTTTACTGCAAATTTGGTAATGTTATGTGTATTTAATGCATTTATGGGTGCTGGGGCCATTATGTTTGATCTTGGCTCACTTATGACGGTATTAAGTCTATTCCCTTCTAATCGTGGTGCTGTTGTGGCAGTGGCAAAAACTTTTACAGGTCTTGGAACCGCCATTATTGGTTCCATTCAACTTGGATTTTTTGAAGGACGACAAGATCGATACTTTTTCTTTCTTATGGCTTTTTCGCTAGTGGTTGGAATTCTCTGCTTTTTTATTATTCAACTACCACCGTATCACTTAACAGATTATGAAAAAAAACATTTAAGTTTGGAGGTAAAAAAAGAAAGACTAAGTACACGTAGTTTGTATTTGACTCAAAAACCTCCTAGAATTCGCTTCATTTTCGGTGTTGTGTTGGCTATTATTTTAATGATATATCTCCCTACCCAAGGTGCTCTTGTTGCATACTTTAATTTAGGACGTAAATACAAAATTGCTTTTGCAATTGTGGCTATCATACTTGTCTTGCTATATCCTATAATGGCTTTACCATCATGTTCTAAAAAACGTAATCATTTTGATGAACAGGATGAAATGGAAAATGTTTTGCCAAAGACAAGTGATATAAGCACGTCTGCAGAAGAAGTTTCCTCTGAGAAACGACATCATACATGTAATGAACAAGAGATAAAAACTGATATTGATTATATTGCACCACAATATCAGACAACTTTCTTACAGAGCCTTTGTACAGTAAGACTTTGGGCTATTTTTTGGGCTATTTTTACCATTTTTGGTTCAGAACTCGTACTTATATCGAACGCTCGTTTTATTCTTGGTGCACTTTCTGGAGAACCTGTCAATACCTCCTTAAATACATTACTAACAGTATTAAATGGTGTGGGAAGTGGTCTTGGTCGTATGCTGATGAGTGCTCTTGAAATATGGACACAAGGTAAAAAAGCGGAAGAACGAATTCCCATAACTATTTCACTTTTTTTTCCAACTGTTTCAATTATGATAGCAGTAATTCTATTCTTAACCCTTCCTGCTGCGGCACTTCCACTTCCATATGTAATAGGTGCTCTGGGGAATGGTTTTGGTGCTGCTGTCATTGTTTTGGTATCTCGCACAATTTTTGCGAAAGATTCGGCAAAACATTACGACTTTTGCTATCTGGCTGTTATGTTGTCCGCTATTGTCTTAAATCGTTTCGTATACGGTGAGTGGTATTCACGGGAAGCAGCTAAGCAAGGTAGTACACTCTGTTATGGTAAAAAATGTGTTATGATGCCATTACTTTTTTTCCTTGGTATCAACTTAACAGCATTTTTTTCTAATGTTTACGTACACTTGGAGTATCGTAAGTTTTGTGCCAAGGCACTGAAGGAGCAGCGTCGTGTGAAGGAAGAAGCAATGTTGTTGCTACTTCAAGCAGAGGCTGCACCGGTGGTATTGGAGGATATTGTACTAATACCTGATTCCAAGATAAATATTGACAAAGATAAGAATGAACGTGAGCGTAGTGAGTAGATGCAGAAAAAGAAAACTCTGCATATACTTCTCTATAGCTCTACTTCTCTCTATGGAAGTTGTGCATAGAGATTTTATTATATTTTACTCTCTTTCATTAGTTATTGTTATTATTAGAAGGAGCGTTATATATTGTTTTCTAATTTTTCCCCTCATCACTCGTGCGATTCTTTTTTTTTTTTTTTTGTCTATT